GTCAGCATGTCGTTGTGTCCCTGAGACACTTCACCCCAAATTGCTCCTGTGGGGATTGCCCACAGTATTGAGTATGTAAGTCGCTTTGGATAAAAGCGTCTAACAAGTAATATGTAATGTAATGCTTTTCTGAGAGTGACAGAGAGACAGTATATTTGTCATGTATTGGCCTTGGATCTTATGTTCACACTATTTCTCTACCTCAGCTTCCTATATGCCTGGCATGCCTGCGGTCTCACCCTACAGCCCAAATCCTAACCCGGGGTAAGACGTTTGCAAAGCAGTTCTAAAGCTCTCTACTCCTGCTCTGTAGCAAATAAACATGTCCTGGAACGTTTGTTTTGGTGGTTTCTTCTCCAGCATATCACATGGAGAATATTTATAAACCACTGTTCAACTGATTCCATTACATACACTGAACAAAAATATAAACACAACACTTTTGATTTTGCTCCCATTTTTCATGAGATGAACTCAAAGATCTAAAACATTTTCTATTTACACAAAGTAACCATTTCTCTCAAATATTGTTCACAAATCTGAAAAAATCTGTGAGAGTGAGCACTTCTCCTTTGCCGAGATAATCCATCCCACCTCACAGGTGTGGCATATAAAGATGCTGATTAGACAGCATGATTATTGCTCAGGTGTGCCTTAGAATGGCCACAATAAAAGGCCACTCTGAAACGTGCATTTTTGCTTTATTGGGGGGGTCTGGGGGGGTCCGAAAACCAGTCAGTATCTGGTGGGAGGGTTAGGGTTAGGGTAATGTTGTGAATCGAGTGGCCCATGGTGGTGGTGGGGTTATGGTATGGGCAGGCGTATGTTATGGACGACGAACACAGGCCACTCGATTCACAACATTACCAACATTAGTGTATATTCTGCTAGATGTGGGAAAAGGAAAAACAGATAGAATGCGCTGCGTTCTGATCAGTTATTTATTTTTTGCAGAGGCTACCCAGGATACCAATACCCAGGAGGCAACTCCTACCCAGCCACTGCTGGCCCTGCACACTACCCCAACCAGACCCCAGTTTCCACAGCGGGTACGTATCACATTACCCGGGGTGCTTTATTTCTCTTTCCCAAGTGTACATTTTAAAGTTTAAAATTAGATTTTTGCACAAACTGCACAAGCACAGCAAGATACAAAAGAAGATGTCATTTTTGTGTTATTGCTCTTGTATTGCAATACAATATTTGTATACTAATTCACCCCCACCCCCTCAAAAAAATACAACAATCCTCGTTTTCATGTTAGTCAACTCGTTAATAAGACCTTTGACCTTTTGACTTAAACTCTCTTGCCCTCTGTGTGACTCCGGTGGCATCCCGATCTGCCAGTGAAAAGGTCGTTAGTGTAACGAGAGTGGGGGGTATTAAAGGCCAAAGGGTAGAACAGATCTGAAGGGAAGGGCAACGTCCAAACCCCAGCTATCACAGTATCAACCTCACACAGTTCTAAATTTAGGATGGGAACAGTAACTCCACACAAAGGCAGACCTGTGATCTGCTGCCCAAACAGCAGCGGGCAGGAGGAGCTTTATCTCTCCTATATTTAGCAAAAGGGAAGAAATGGGTTTAGCCCTTAGACCTGTCACATCTCCAGGCTGCATCAACTCTGACATTTGTAGTGCTGATTCCACACTGCACATCAGGTGGTCTTTACTTTTAGACATCAAGCAGTGTTTTTCCACATATTGTAACTGGTAGTGTTCAGTGCGCTTTGATAACACTTTACATTTGCATCTATGAACTCGATGAATTCAACTCAAATTTCTGCGATATAGTTTAACAATTCCACATTAAACCATTTCCGTTAGCTCGTTTGAAATGGAAAATGAAATGGCCCAATTAAATTGGCCAATCAAATGGTTTCAGTTAAATCGGTTAATCAAATGGCTTGTTTCAGTACACCAATAAAATGTCTCAATCGGCTCATCAGAAGGCTTGTTTTTGTATCTGTTATTTTCTGTTTTGTCTGTTCACTGTCTGGCCTCCCTTCTTAACGTCATCCTCTAAAGGCCCGAGCAGAGATGGCACCATTGGCGAGGACACCATTCGTGCATCTCTGATTTCAGCTGTTAGTGACAAGCTTCGCTGGAGAATGAAGGAGGAGATGGACAGAGCTCAGGCGGAGCTGGACGCCCTGAAGAGAACCGAGGAGGATCTGAAGAAAGGACATCAGAAACTTGAGGACATGGTCTCGAGGCTGGACCAGGAAGTGGTGAGAAATCCTACATTTGTTTCAAAGTTGTATTTTTTTTTTTTTTGTTCTTCTATGACAATATGAAATGGTTTAAATCACGATATTTCTGCTAGTCCGATGTTGACAGGAATATCGAGCTGCTGAAGAGAAAGGACGAGGAGCTGAGTGAGGCCTTGGAGAAGATGGAGAACCAGTCGGAGAACAACGACATTGACGACGTCATCGTGCCCACCGCTCCGCTGTACAAACAGATCCTGAACCTGTATGCTGAGGAGAACGCGATTGAAGACACTATCTTCTACCTAGGAGAGGCCCTCCGCAGGGGCGTCATAGACCTGGAGGTTTTTCTTAAGGTGACCACATCAACAACATAACTACCAATAATGTATAACATGATGTTCATAAAGTAAACAGACACAGAACTGACTCTAGGGTCAAACGCATTTGGCCAACACACAATCATAATGTGCACCTAAAAGTGTCAACATAGACTGTGGGTGTTTATAATGAATACAATGGAAGCCTATCTGTGTATCAGACAGATTTCAAGAGACAAAGACATTCACACACTTGAGTCCTGAGTGATTTTAGCCTTAATGCCTCATGTTCTCTTTTGTTACAGCATGTACGCCTTCTGTCCAGGAAGCAGTTCCAGCTTCGTGCGCTCATGCAGAAAGCCCGCAAGACTGCCGGCCTTAGTGACCTCTACTGACCCACTCTGACAGCCAGGAAACATTCATATCCTTATGCTCCCTTACTCTCTCCTCTTCCTCCTCTCTTTTTATTCCCATTATTCCCTTTTATGTCTTCTAGAAGCTGTCCTCTTTTTTTATCTCTATACAATCTGTTCTTATGAGACAGACTTCTGAACGGCAAACATTTAAAATACAACATTTATGTAGAACTGGGCCGTCCCGTGTGGTCACAGTTCTCGTTGGAAATAATTTGTGTTTTTGATCTGACCAAATAATGATTTGAGATCTTAATGCATTACCCTTCATGACCCATTTGCACCAACAATAAGTAAAAGCACTGGGACAACATTGTGACCCAGGTGCTCCGGTTGACACAGAAACACACATGACATACTGAGAGTGACGTGAGAGCCTAGTTTCCTCTGTAGTGTAGGTGTACTGTTGGTTACTGTGACAACCTGTACATGATGCACTGCAGGGAGCTGGTTCTGTTCGCACTCCCTTTGCCAGACAGTCATTTGGCTAGTAAGCACAAATTGTTAGGGGCGTGTAGAGAGAGGCTTTGTCAAAAGAACCTATGTGTCCACTCTCCTCATAATGAAAAGGATAGGCCTGGGGTATAAATACCCGGGCCAACCTTTCAGGAAGGACATGGGGCTCAGCCTCAGGATTTAATGCTGTTCAAGTCATGTTCGGTAACCATGGAGTCAAGAGATCAATTTTCATACAGTACATACTGTCTTTTAATTGGTTCAATTTTGAGCTACTCTGCCACACTATTATTTGCATTTCCTGTTCACCCGTCAGCTGCTCAGGTCTACCCTCCAGTCTGACTGAATTAACCAGTCAATCTTGTACAGTAGTTGTTTCACTCTGGGTGACAGACTTGGCATGCTTTATTGTAATGTATTACAAAGGAAATTCTGTTTTTCTTTTCTTTACTTTTCTATCGTCTTTGTGCTGTCCTCTTATTCTCCTGCTGAGAGGTTCAAGTTTTCAGTAAACATGGGAAAAAACGTTGTGAATAAAGCTGGAGCATTGGAGGGTACAAACAAATCAAAACAATATATTGTACTAATCAAAATGTTAACTTATGTAAAGTTTGCAAACAGGTATCATTTAAATTAGCCTTTTACTAAATGCACTTTGAATTGTATGATAGATTATCTGCTGTTATTGTTTTTCTTGTTTCCAATTCAACCATAGACCACCTGTTCTTTTATATCTGTAGATTTATGCAAATCAGTACAAATAAATGGAATCTGATGTAGATCTCATATTCTTTGATGGGTTATTAATAACAGAAATGTAAGTGTTTTCTCCGTTGCACACCTATTGGCAATGCCAAACTACAGTAAGTAATTTAATATTTGTGAAGTAGCTGTAATTTAGAATCCAGTGGTTTGTTATCAATGATCAAAGACTAAGTAAATATTTTAAAATGGCTGGTGTCTGTTAGCAAATGTAGCAGAATCTACCATTATGTTCACCTTGTGCTGATTTCATTCAGGAGTTTCAGACTTTGATCTCTCATAAAAACCTCTGTCAACAATCCCAAGCTGCCTTTTGCTCGCTTGCATGACAACCAGTTAAAAAAAGACAGAACATGTTTCACTATCCAGGCAGATTTATTCAATGTTACAGCAAAAAATAATCAATATCTAGCTGCCATGACAGGTACAATTCCTCAGTGAAGGTTGTAACATTACATGATCCTAACCATATTAACAATTATAAATAACAGTCCTTTTTCTCTTGATGACTTTACCAGAGTGAAGTTGAATAAATACAAAACCCTTTATGGTATTTACGGTGCGCAAACAAACACCTTCCAGGGTCAATAGTTTCTGCCATGATTGTAGCTGACTCTTTCCCATTTGGTTCTCTGTTATCTCTTAAGAGTTAAATTAAGTCACTTTGTTGGCAGCCATTCTAATTCTCCTTTCTAACCAGCATCTTAAACCTTGACTTTTAAAATATGTTTCTGTCAGTGCACTTGTGGTTAGATTGGTTAACAAAGGCTTCAATGCCAACCAGTAAACATAGCATTGATTACTCAAGGTACTTTGGTATCACAGGGTTCTATCCCAGTGATATGTGCAGCAGCATTATGACTAAGTAGGAAGCTCTCCTCATAGTGAATGGAATGTCTCCATTAGACTCCAAAATAAAGAGATGACCAAGTGGAAAAAAACAACTGGCAACAATCACAGAACACACAGAACAAATACAAACTCCAGACAAGGAGTGCAGAGAGAAGCAGTAACAGGGCACAGAAACATTACAGTACATAAAGTGTTTACCCTTACAATGTAGAGGCCACACTTTTGTTCTGTAGACAGGACAACAACAGATGTTTTAATATTTCAAGTTAGAATCTAGCCCACACACACACACACTTCTTAGACATTCAGAGGTTTCATTCGCCTGTTGCAGTAAGGGGTACAGGAGGAGGGCGTCAGAGTGGCTTCAGAGGAAGGCTCTTCACAGGATGAGCTCCTTCTGTACGCCCCACAGGGTCTCGGCGCTCTTCTGCACCTGCTTCTCCTCTTCGGCCTTCAGGGTCATGTGAATCACATCTGTCAGGCCGCTGTTGCCCAGGACACAAGGGACGCTCAGGAACACCTCATCCTTCACTCCATGCATGCCCTGTCAGAGGAAGGGGTTAAAAAGGTATTTTCATGATATTCAAAGAATGTTCAGTATGTGGATGCAATCCGATGAATTGTATGATATAGGATTTGGCCAATCTTTTTACCTGGACCAGTGTTGACACAGGGTGAACTTTGTGCATGTTCTTAATGATGCTCTCCACCAGGTCAGCTACAGACATGCCAATGGCCCAGGAGGTGTAGCCTTTCAGCTTAATAACCTCATAGGCCCTGCAGAGAAAAAATAAACAAAAGTCAGAACAGCATATTTCCTGGACAAAAGACACAAATCTGTGTGCTTTGGTACTTGGGACTGTTCGTACATTGTCATTGGAAATTAGCTCAAAAACATAAGGCCTAAACTCAAAAAGAGAACACTTTTCATACAGAGTTTTATTGCAATATAAACAATTTACATATCCAGGCTCATTTGGCTGGCCAGAATGAGAGAGAAAATAATTTGTACTTTTACAGACAGCAGTGCATCCATTTTCTCCCTTAGTCTTAGTCTCTCTTTTATTTCCTGAAAATCAACCCTTGTGTTATACTATTTTACCTCCTTAAGAACTCAGCTACTTGAATATAAATAAGGTGGACTGACAGTGACATAATGGTAAAGTATCAAAGTTTACGGGGTAAACGTTAACATAACACAGAAGTTGTATACATAGCAATGCTATTATGTTGGTATGGTTAGTTAAAAAGGTAGGGTAGGTAATAATGGAGAATCCAGCTCGAGTGCGCTAGAATTTGAAAGTACACAACCGAAAAAAATCTGCCCCTTCCTTCAGACTTCCTGACAGGGCCCCTCCTCCAACACACACGAATGTGCACATGACCAATGAGGGCACGAGATAAGTTTGTGCACAGATGGAAGGCTGACAGGCAGGTAGGCCATCCAGTTATTTTAGCCGGGCCGGCTCAGATGATTGTCGTGCTTTTTACAGTACTACGGCTTCCACAGATGAATTTTTTGTATGTATTTAATGTCAAAGCATTTAATATATTCATTGCTATCGGGATGTTAAGAGCATTCCATGGAATAAAACAAAGTGTTTCTGAAGTGAATTACCTACCCTACCTTTAAAGTCTTCAATTAGGGCAAACCGGTCTTTTATCAGGATTCAATATTGTCTGGCGTTTCATTAATGCAAAGCCATGAGGACAACTGCACGGTATTATGTTACGGGGTCTAGCATAGCTTTTGTGTTTGCACTGGCTGCCAGACACCAGTAAGCCAACAACACAGAAGTGTTCTGTGTACCCGCCTCTGCTTGCCTTTGGGCCCACATCACTGATTACATTCCTTTCCAGGGCTAGTGAGCTCCACTGGATCTTGATCAAATGGTGTATGTAAGTATGTTTTTGATGTTTTTGTAAATAGGCAACTGTCACTGTAAGCCAATACATCCTATAAGTGTGTTTTAATAAAACATAATATGTATGGCTTCAACCTCAGATGGACGGATGACCTGTATGCACATGGCCGATTGATTTGCTGATAAGATTCATCAGTGTGGGAGAAAGAAAAATGTGGTTTGCAGGGAAGTTCTTTCAGGTCATTGGTGGATTACTGGAAACTATTGTTTACTCACCCATCAACCACCTCTTTGTGAATAGCCTTCCAGTTCTCACCGTCACCCTCAGTCCCCATCTGTGGGTTCAGACCCTGCAGAGACACTCCAGCAACATTCACACCGCTCCAGACAGGCACTGTGAGAAAAACACACACGCGATCAATTAAATAGAGAATACATGTAATTGTGGCAAAAATGATGCAGCTGTATTGAACGATTTGCAGTACACCAACAAACAGGAACACTGGAAGTCTTGCAGACATTTTATTTTTAGTCAGAGCTTCATACCACTGGAGTCTCCATGTTCTCCGACGATCCAGGCGTGGCAGCTGGAAGGGTGGAGGTGGAGCTTCTCTCCAATGAGGTGGCGGAAACGGGCGGAGTCCAGGTTGGTGCCAGAGCCAATGACGCGGTGACGGGGGAAACCACTCAGCTTCCAGGCCACATAGGTCAGGATGTCCACTGAAAGGGTAAAGGGGACAACTCTTCCAAATTAGAAAGGAGCTACTCTCTTCCAGTACCCCCGAACACTATTTCAAGCCACAACTGCTCTTCTCACATTTCCCCTCCTCCCTCACTCATTCAAACCCCCGCCTGTCTAACCTGGGTTAGAAACCACCATCAGGATGCAGTTGGGGCTGTACTTGACGATGTTTGGGATGATGAACTTGAAGATGTTGACGTTGCGCTGCACAAGGTTCAGACGGCTCTCGCCCTCCTGCTGACGGGCTCCAGCTGTCACCACCACCACTTTGGAGTTGGCTGTCACACTGTAGTCTGAAAATCAACAAAACAAGAGGGTTTCTAATGGAGCTGCAGAGTTATAGTTTCAGTGAGAGTCAAGTTTACATACCAGATTATAAATAAATTATTCAAGAGTTAAAAGGGAAGATATTTTTGTGCGTTCTCACCTTTGTCTCCCACAATCTTTGTCTTGAGGAAGAGGGATCCGTGCTGCAGGTCCATGACCTCACCCTTCAGCTTGTCCTCCATCACATCAACCATGGCCAGCTCATCACACAAGTCCTGTTTGTATACATACATATATATAAAATTAGTCATTCTGGCTAGGTCTGCAACTTACACATACTTTTATTCTTCAGTTAATCAGTCCCAGGGAGTCATTCGGAATATAAAAAAAAGACAGAAAATAGTGAAGAAATGTCCATCCCAGTTTCGCAAAGTCCAAGATAATGTCTTGTATTCTCAGTCAGAACCAAAATATATTCAGTTTAATATGATATAAAAGCAGAGGAAAGCATGAACTCCATATTTGAGGGTCTGAAAATATTACTTTAATGATTAAGTAATCATCCAAAAACTGTTTTGGCCGATTAACTCATCTGGTAATTCTGAAACCCATACACTATTAAGAAGCTACAATGAGGCATATTCACAGTAGTTGGTATAACATGATATAAAGTCACAAAACACACCATTCATCTCTGCCTTGACTGTTGAACAGTATTGTTAGTTGTAAGACCTGTGACCTAGTTTCCCTGTGGCCTAGTTTCCCTGCAACTCTTTTGTTTCCGATTTGTAAAGGATCCAGCTTCCTTGCGGGAACAGGAATAAACAATGGAAATGTAATGTTTCCTGAGAATGTCTTTATAATTGGAAGCTTGCAGTTTTTAAAATGTTAACCAAGCATTACACACACAGTCAGATTCCAGTAGATAGCACACCTTTAAAGTTAGTTTGACTTTAGGTTTCTCAGTTTAATTCCTTCATCTAATCTGAAATCATAGAACTTTCTAATGTTTATCTAAGTTTGTTCTTTTCCAAGGGTTTACCTTAAGTCTTATGAGTTATTTTGTTTGATGTACTTTTCACTGTACTATCATGTTTGAAAGCTGTCATCCCATCTACTTTCCCTTGATGCTGATTTCACCAGCTATTTTACTCACACACACACATCCCATCTTTGTGTCTCACCTTGAGCAGTATGCTGACGGCAGAGGCCATGCCCACCATGCCGACACCCACCACCGTCACCTTGTTCCTGCTGCCAACAGGCTCCTCTTTCATCACATGGCTGATCAGCTTCTCCTTGGTGGACATCTGTGTGAAAGTAAAGAGGTGTTAGGAAAACCAGATAAATAAAAGGGGCAGGGCGAGTGTGGAAACAGAGAGGCAGTAAAGGAGTGCTACATTACGTATGCGACAGTTTCAATGGGTTGTTCCCCGGCGTACGTGACTGCTCTCTCATCTAACCATTCGTCAAAAGAGGAATTCCCTCTTCATCTCAGAAAAATGATTGAAAGTGTGTCCTCCCCCTGACAACCACAACTTCCGGTTCCTTACTCCTTAAGTCAATAACTCTTATCTCATGTTTACTTCCTTAAATGGCAGTAATTCTTGCTTCACAGGGCCACACTGGGTCTCTATGGCAACCACTGCCTGGAAAAGTACTGCAACCGGTTTCCATCCAGCAAAGACCATCCCCCACTCACTATTATTTGTGTTTCCTGGTCAAGCAAGCATGGCTGAGTGCTCGCGCTTACAGGCTGTTACATCAGCAGCATGACTAGCCTGGATCTTCAGTGATGTGGAGACGAGCACGTAGACAGGATTAATGCCCTGTAATACCTTCCTTCAAAGAGTGTTTAAGACTTCTCCATGGGGAATTTGCACACAATAGTAGGATACGGTAAGTAGGAAAGACATACCCAATATCCCTTTATCCTATTATCTCTCGCTTAAGAAAGCGAGATTTGTGTTAATCTTCGGATTATATACATTTTTGGAGATTTTAAAAAAAAGTAGCTGTTATACATAAGTGGACCACAAAAACGTCTCTATGCAAACTTGCATTATCATGTTTTCTTGTACATTATGACATTTACTTAATTTGATCAGAAACAGGTCAGTGGGGGTGTACTTAGCTCTGATGGGGTGTCAGGTATCACGGTTGAGGGCCAGTAGCTGGCCTTTACTTGCACCATTGGCAGGAGACTGTGGGTATATTTGTCCCTGCACTTTTGAATTGTAGACTATATGATCAGACAAAACATCAGTATATCCAAAAAATGATTTGCTTAAAATGCGGGAGTAACTTTACTAGCTTGATTTAGTTTCCACTGTGAAGTCACATAATTGAGTTAGAACATCTACTGAAGATGCCAACAGGATGGAACTTAGAACATGAATGAATTAAATACTTATTTTAAACTTGAAAATACAGCGAGGTATTGACCTGATACACAATATAGCACAGTAAAAAAAAAAATCCAAGACATACAAATAAGAAATTAAGATGAAAAAGCAAAATTATGAAGGTAGTAAAACCTAAAGAATATATAAAAAGTAAAGCAAATGACACAACAAATAAGAAATACAAATGGAAGTGAAATGGGATATCATTTAAGGTTGAAAAGAGGGAGGCTTCAAACTGTAAATATGTTGAATAATATACCATAACAATTACATGAACGCAAATCTGGCAAATCACTGATAGTATATCTGCAGCACCAACAGTGCTCCTACCAATATCTGCTTTCCCATGGGCCAGCAGATGGATGCCACAAATGATCTATGTCAGCTTCATTTATGGCCCACTGCTGTGTGGATGCTGGTCTCCATGGGCAGCAGAGGACATGGTGTCTTCTTGTGTAACACTGCGTATAATTGAATCAACATATATATATTGATGTAACAACAGAAACAGATCCAAACCACTTTCACTTAAGGGTTCTTATATTAACCTATACTATTGGGGTAAGCTATTTGGGGTATTTCCAATAGAATATTTCATAACAGGTGTTCCTACAATTTAAAGCATCGTTCTTAAAACCCATTCATTTACTGGCATCAGAGTCACGGCAACAAGTAAATTACGCAGACGGGCCTACATCCTGTTGCTTCGGCCACTCTGTTTCACAAACATAAAAACATAAATACACCCATTTTACACTTGCAGCCTTGGGTAACCTGTCAAAAACTGAAGATGGGTGCCACTGATCTTTCTAAAATGCGCATCTAGTCCCTCTTTAAACAACTCTCAATGTGCCGTGAATGGCTCGTATCACTCACGGAGATGGCTGTGGTGTAGGCTGCCGTGGGATATGTAATGTATCTTACCTTGAGTCGTTCAGTTAGAGAGGTGGAAACACGAACTGGAATGTGTATGCTCCTCCTGAGTTCAGCTTTTCCGCAGAAGTAGTGGTGCAGAAAGGGAGTGTCCCGGTATTTAAAGACAGCCTCCTCCGTAGACGTAACGTAATGTCTGATTACGTGACATTCTTCATCCGGTGCACGTGCTGAATGTCACGTAATCAGAATCCTTTATTAGTCCCACCTTCTTATTACCATGGTCCCACGGAGGGGGAAATGAGCCACAGACAGCTTTATGTAACATGTTACATGATTTAAAAAGTACTAAGTTATGATATAATACAAAATAAAAAGTTACATTATTTTCAGAATACACATCCTGTAACAGTTCTTAGCATTTAGCAGCCAGGTATATAGCACAGTTCTACAGAAAAGGTGGAATCTGGGTGATACAAATCTGCTGAAATATATTCCTTCTAAAACACATCTAAAACCTGTTAAATAGCAATAACTAACTCTTAACTTGATGGATCCAAAAAAAGTAGAGGTAGAGCTTAAATAATTTTTTTCAAATTATTGTTACACATTATACAAAGCTTATATTTATATAGGAACGTCACTGGTGTAACGTGTTACCAGGGAGAAGAGTAACACAGTGACGGTAACATCAGGTTGCAAAATTCCGGGAATTTTCAAAGTTGGAAACTTTCCATGGGAATTTACGGGAACATATTATCGGAGTAAACTGGGAGATCGTTCAAATACGGTGAAGTTGGCTCTTCATAGGAGAACTTAAATATAGTTGGGGAAAGTATATTGAGCATACTTTGTGACTAAAACCAAACAGATGCCATTCAAGTAACACTTGAATATCCGTATGCCATAGCACACTGCTTACTGCATGGGCTATTAAGACCACACAAAAGGTTTGCAACAGGCTCACAAATGTGAGAGTGAAAAACTGGTTGGCATTCGGCGCAAACCTAAGGGGTCTTTGAGCCTGACACAGAGCCATCCTCCAACAAGGCTGGACAGTGACACTGAAGAGGAAGACTCAGAGTTGTGATGTTGATGAGGCCCAGAAGAGCCCATTGACTGAAAGGTTCAGAAAAATGCAGAGGATTGCTGGAAGAAGAATGTGGCATGTTTAACATGGGACTTTTTGAGGGAGAAGGGCTCTTCATTTAACATTTTGAATGGGACTTTGTGGGATCTTGGATGGGGGGTGCCATTTTTTTTTTGTTCATTTTTTTATGAGTGGGGGTTGCGGGGGATGAGTAATATTTAACTCACAATTCCTGTTTTTCCGTTGTTCAATGAAACAAATAATTGTTCAATAAAATAATTAAAACTTGTTCTGTTCTCTTAACATTTAAAAAAAAAATCTGTTGAAATTTCATGTTTTTTGTTTTAATTAATTTTTACATCGAATATTTCCAAAAATTCCTCAGCTTAACTTCCCATGAAACTTTCCGGGAAACTTTCTCCACTTGTCACTGGTGTTAGGGTTGCAAAGGGCGGAACATTTCCGGAAATTTTTCCGCCCTCTTGCATCCCTAAACACCAGTGAAAATTTGAGAGAAACACTACAATTTTAAACAAAATGGCTGCCATGTGCAGACCCCATAGACTGTATATAAAAAGGGGTCAGACCACGCCCGTTTCTCAATGTCGAGTACACATGCTGCAGAGCCACTATTTCAATATACTACGTCATCGAGGTGGTGCCAAGGGACTGTTTAAATGCATGTAAATGCCCAACATTCTGTGCACACTCTATGACGTAGTATACTTGAAATAGTGGCGTTAGTCAATATTCAAAATCGTTAAACTCTTCCAATACAATAAATTTTTGCGGTTCAAATTTTCACCCCTAGGCTATGAAATGAGTACACTAAAGGACAGACTTGAAA